ATAAATAAATAAAGGACGGACTTGGAGGACCTTTGCCCAGAGGATGCTAGCGAACCATGGGGCAGGGGAGGGGCTGTGGTGTGAGGCTGGAAGAAGACAGGCTGGGTGACTGGGGAGAGGATGGGAAGAGTCAGGGAGGAGAGGCTAGTGAGCACGCTAGGTACAGGGAGAGAGGAGGGGCAGGGCAGAGTCAAGGGAAAGACAGGATTGGGGCTGCATCCCCCCAAGTCACCCAAATATTACTTCCTGACACCTCCATCTCAGGCCCCCCAGGAAGACAGGGCAGGGTGGGGTCCAGGGTGTGGGGACACTAGTCAGATAGTGAGTCAGGGCCCAGGCTGGCAGTATGACCTCACTCTTAGTCACCACGAGTGGGGATGGAGGACCCAGTGGTACGAAGGCCCAAATCCTTGCCTGCTGTCACAGATACTCCCGTCAGGCATGGGCAGAGAAGCTGCTAAGCATGTCTGTCTCCCCGGAGCACTGCAGGTGCCCCTGGGCACTCCTGGGCACGCCATCTTTACACCGGGTCCTGGGTGAGGAACTCATCCCAAGTACTTTGAAAAGGAGCGAGGACCATGCTTTCCACTCAAGGAGGAAGTGGGCTCTGCTGCCTCCCCTTGGCCAGGCCCCCAGGTGTCAGCACGAAAGTGTGAAGGAGGGGCTCACCCCTTGCCCCACTGGCCCTGTTAGTGTTCTAGGTGCAGAGAATGAGTCAGGCTGTCGTGTTGGGGAGCCTGGAGGATGGTTGGTGAGGGTACTGTGCGACAGACTGGTCCCATACTCCCATGCAGTGAAGGTACAGGCAGACACGAGGTTCTTCCACAGTAACTGGGATGAGATACATTAATACTCAATAGTGGAATACCTGAGGACAAATCGAGGAAGCAAATGATAGCCCAGGATGTCCAGGGGTGATAAGATGACTCAGAATGGTTGTGAAAGGCCTCGAAAGTGGGGGGCCTAAACTACCTGGGAAGAGCATTTAGACCCTGGGATAGAATGGTACCTGGAACATTTGAGGCCAGTGTGACTGGCGCAGAGGAACGGATGAGGTCAGAGGATGGGATGGGCATGGTGCCGCTCCTGGGCCTTCACCTCGAATGAGTTGGAAGCCAGAAGCCTGTCTCCCCTGATTCCATCTCTCCTGATTCCCATCCTCTCTCTACTCTCTTTGTCCCCAGGCCCCGTGGAGAACTGACTCCCCAAAGACCCAGCCCCTTTGCACCCCAAGAAGAGGGTTTGCGAGCAGAATCTTGTGTGGACGATGGAGCCATTGCCCCCGACACTGATGCAGCCTCTGGGGAGGCGCCTGAGGCTGCGCCCTCCCCCTCCTCCACCATGTGCCAAACAGGAGGCCCAGGCCCTCCACCCAGCCCCCCAGATGGATCCCCTGACCCCCCTGACCCCCTCGGAGCCACATGAGGCAGGAGCCTCATCGCTGGATAGCCACACTTCTTGGAACTGAACTGAACTCTTCTGGGCCCAGAGCCCCTGGCACAGCGGAGGTCCCTCCTGACCCACTCTTGGCCTCATGAAGGCCACTGGCTTCAGGAACCTGGGCCCCCATCTTGCGTCTCCCCTCACCCCCAGCCTGGCCCCTGGAGGGGCCTCTGATTCAAACCTTCGCGTGACATTTTCACATTATTTAAAAAAGACAAAAAACAACTTTTTGGAGGAAAATGGGGCCTGTGTGTGTTTGGGGAGGTGGGAGGGAGATGCCAGTAGACACGGCCTGGAGTCACTTCCTTTCCTCCTGGCCCCAAGGCGAGGTGCCCATGCAGCGGCGGCTTGCCCGCCTCCCTCCCTGCTCTGGTTCTGTTCCTTAGAGCCTGACATTGGTGGCAGCTTCAGCTTACCCTTCCATGTTCCACAAGGAGTCAGTGATGGCTTGGGACCAAACAATTGTGGTGGTAACCATGTCCCTGCAGGGTCCAGAAGCTGTCACAGGGCCAGGCCAGGTACTGGTGGTAGGAAGGCGCTCAGAACTGACCTGCTAGCCACTGCCTGCCTGCCCGCCTGCCCACATTGGCCTGCCTCCCTCCCTTCCTCCTGTGGACACCTGTTCCGTAGCCTCTGGACTAGGGTCCCTTGTCCCCCACACTTGGGACCATGTTCATTGGTACATGAAGGAGTGAATTTGCATGGTGGAAGGAGGCAGAGCAAGGGTGGGTTGAGTAGGATGGTGTACTCTGCTTTGTAAATTAAGGTGACGGGACACAGGCCAAGGAAAACCCTACAGCAGGCAGGGTTCACCGTCCTCACCACTGACGTGATCTAGAGGCATGCCAACCCAGGTTGGGGTGAGTCATGGTAGTAGGGTGGGCCAGGCCAGGAGGTCCTAGTTTGAAGAATGAGGGTTATAGGCCTGATGCCAAGTCTGAGAAAGGGCAAGGGCAGGTTTACAAGGGCCAGGTTTATTTATTTGGGGTGTGTGTGTGTGTAGAGAGAAGTGACAGGGAGAGACTGACTCTGTGGCCCTGGCTGTCCTAGAACTCACTCTGTAGACCAGGCTGGCCTCCAACTTAGGGGGTTAGCCTGCTTCTGCTGAGATTAAAGGCACAAGCCACTTCCACCTGGCCAAGGCCAGGAGTTTCAGGTCTGAGGGGAAAGGGCTATGTCCTAACTGGTGTGTGTGTGTGGTGGGGGAGCATGGCCAGGACCTTCACGTCTCTGTGAATGAAGAGGACCAGAACTGGTGTTGAAAAGCGGGGTGACCCAAGGTCTGCAAGGCTGATGTCCTACCAGTTCCAGGGAGCAGGGCTCGAGTCCTAATTCTCTAGTCTGAGGGAGGAGGGCATCTGAGGGCCTGACCCTGTCTGAGGGAGGAACCTGGGATCAGGACCCCTGGTCTGAAGGAGGGGTATACTTTCTCTGGCGCTCTCCACAAACTCATATTCAGTATCTTCAACCACAGAACCTTACTGCTTCACAGTTTTGGAGGCTAGAAGACCAAGACCAAGGCCATCAGTATTTTGGAAACTCCCGTGGTTTTGCCAGCCTGGCCTCAGGTAACCATTGGCACTCATTTGTGCTTTATTTATGCTGTTCTCTGCATTCATCTCCACATGGCGCCCGCTGTGGCTTGTGTCCAAACACCCACTTTGGGGGGACTTGTGTGTGTGTGGGTATGTTGGTGGGTACCGGGGGAGGCGTGGTCTTGTACAACTCAGCCTGGCCTTGAACACTTTCTCTTGCCTCAGCCTGCCTCTGCCGACACCTGAGCTCCCCATGCTCGGCCCGCAGGACAGTTAAAGCATTTTGCTGTCTGACTTGAATGCTCCACACACTTGCAGCTTAGTTTGGCCAACGTTCCCTTTAGCTCCTCAGTCAGGCACTGCCGATCGCCCCGGCCCTGGGCCCACCGTGGTGGCTCCTCCATACCCTCTCCTGCTCCAGTCACAGGGACTGGACGTCTTTCCACTTTCCCCTCTACTCGCTCTCAGATCACCCTGACCCCCTCAAACACACTAGACTCCTGCCTCATGACTTAGCTTCCCACAGCCAGGCCTGCATAACCTGTTCTTACCCCACAGAGCCACACCAGTCCCACACCAGTCCCCCGCCAGACCATGGAACCTAGGGTGAGGAGGGCCCTACTGCTAGTGGTTCCCTATGCCTCCATGTCCTTGTCACCTTAATTTGTGAGAGTACACCATCCAGCTCAAAGCCACCCCTTTCCCACCAATCCAAACTCGACCCATCTATGCCAAGCAAATCTGGTCCCAAGGTGAGAGAGACAAGGGACCTAAGTTCAGAGCCACTCACAGGTGGGAACTGGGACCCACACCCCACATGGTGCCTCTGCTGCCCAGTCACCATTCTCTTATGGCAAGTCCTGAGTTCAACCCATGGAGGCAGACACCGTGGGTCAGAGGGTGGTTAGGAACCTTTGAATCAAGACTCACTGCCCAGTGTTTTCCTGGTTCTTCGGGTGATGCTGGAAATTCCGTTTTATTTGGGACTCTCCATTTCACAACTGCCCCGGGGAGGAAGTAGTTCATGCCTCTTTTCCAACTTCAAGGTAAACTCCAGAAAAACCTTAATAGCTAGGAGACAAGACCGCCTTGGTCCACTGACATGCAGCCTGAGCCAGAGCCCACCCAGAAGATAATCTGGATACTCGTACCTTCCCTAGATCAGTGCTGTTGGGCGGACACCCACAGGTGCCTGTAGCCAAGGGAAGGCAAGACACAAACCCCCAATAGCGGTTTGCAGATCCAATACACACCTCCTGGAACCTCAGTTCCCAGAAGGCCACAGGGTAGCATCCTTCCTTCCCAGTCAGGCCTGCATGCTAAAGCTTGCTGGGAGTGTCAATTCCTCTAGAAATACTACTTCAGGTCTGGGAAGGTAGCTAGCAGTCTATAATGCCAGAATTGAGAGGATGAGGCAGGATTCACAGTTTAAGCTCACCATGGGCCAGGAAAACAAAAATGCCAACTTCTTGGCTCCGAAGGTGGGCAGTAGGCACTGGGCCTTTGTTCTCTGGAGTCACTATTCCAGCAGAAGCACAAGAGGACAGGACCAGTCAGGGACTTAGCATTACCACCTTCACCAAGATTGCCTCCAGTCAGGACACACATACCCCGACCTTCTGACAAAAACCCACCTCCAAGGCCATCCATGCACCCCATGGTACCACTGTGCCCTCTCCAGCCCACACTGGAACTCTCAAAGGACAGCACAGCCAGTTCCTTTTGTCCCACACAGGGTCTTCTCTGGACTTCTTCCCTCTGAGCCCCCTAATGATCACAGGCCCCACAAGATCATGGTGGCCTGGCCCACAAGGGCAGTGCACGTCTTGAGAGTATGTTGTACCTGAATACCATCCCTGAAACGAAATTCTCCTTACTTGGCACCCGCAGGGTTTGCGTGACTTGTCTGGGAATCACCTGCCTTCCGCCCTGTATGCCACCCAGGGTCCTGACTAATGTCAAGAGGATGGGTTCTCGGCTCTCCCAAACCCAAGAAATGAGGGCATCTGCAGGCGCGAGGGGTTAAATAATTAATAAGATTACCAACATGTTAATTACAAATAAGGAGACAGGAGCGAGAGGTGGTGATTTTCCAAATGGGGAACCAGGATCCACAGCCCCAGGGCCCAGGGGTCCTGCCACCCAGGCGGGGCACCTCCAAAATAAATAATGGAGTTGGGGACAGGGGTCAGGGCTGTTCCTGCTTCTTTTTCACAGAAATCCGCTTCTTTCTTGCTGCCAGCATCTCATAGAAGGGGTCCACGCTTACAGCAGCCCTGCAAAAAGGGGGTGATGAGGACCGAGGGCCCCAGGCCCAGGCCCAGCCCCCACTCAGATTCCAGCCCCGTGAGGCTCACTGGATGGACTTGATCCACTCGTCTTTCTCCTCCTGTGTGGGTGCTGAGATTCGGTACACCATGTGGTTCCCCTCTACGACCCGACCATCAGCCTCGGTTTTGCAGGCTTTGATGAGCTGTCCCTTATTGTTGGGAATGTACAGCTCAAAGCAGTTCTAGGATAGAGGGGACAGGTCAGAGCAGCCCTGGGCCACGACAGGGAGGCACACGGTTAAGGGCACCCCATGAATCTTACCGGCTTCCGAGGATCATCCACCTCACGGATGCTGAGGTTCTCTAGGGGGATGATCCCTCGGGGCTCCTTGTCCTAGATGGCAGAGTCAGAGTTCAGGTTCCATGGGTTCCCCAGTGCCTCCCTAAGAGTGAGGGCTGGGTGCCCTGCCCCCCAGATCTTGGCCTATGTCTGCAAGCTCCACCCTCACCGTAGTGTACTCAAAGTAGTAGAGGCAGTTGTCTGTAAGGATGAACCAGCGACGCTTCCAAGTCTTCACCCGGCCCCCTGCAAGGGAAGGGGTGGGAGGGGCCGGGCTCAGCGGGGAACCGCTGGGGAGGGGAGCAGAGTGGGGAAAGGTAGGGCTCTTAGGTCTAGGACAGAGGCAGTGAGGGAAAAGACAGGCAGGCAAGGACAGGCTGCTGGGGCCCCAGGAGTGGCACCCCTGCTTGGGCCACAGGTTCTGGCTATTCTATTGGCACAGGCCCAAGCCCCTCCCCCTGGGCCAAGGCCAGGGCAGCCCCTCCCTATCTTATTGGGTTCGGGCAAGGACACCAGGTACCTACCTCCTGGGGCAGACAGCGAGAAAGCAGGCAGGACCAGGTGTGGAGGGGAAGGCGGAGGGATGGGGTGCCCCCAAGAATCGCAGCGACAGAAATAGGGGGTCAGGGAAGGGATGCACAGGGGCCAGAGCCACAGCAAGAGAACAGGCAGAGGGGAGGGGGAGAGAGGAAGAAAACCAGTTACATCCACATGGGGAGGAGCCAAGGCCTCCCCTGCCCACCATGTTCCTGGCCTCCTGGCTTCAACCTTTCCCAGTGGGTGCTCAGCCTACCAGATTGGCCCTGGAAAACAAATGTTCCCTGAGACCCTCTACTCTGACCTAAGGGGTAGGGCTAGTCTTAGCTGTGTGATCTCAGGAAATCCCTGGCCCTCTCGGATGCCAGCCTGGAGACCCACCCACACACATCTTGTCCGCAACAAGATGGCCTACTGTAGCCTCTGGATGAACAGTCGGTTCATCTGGATGAGTAGAGAGGGTTCCATTAGCCATGATGGTCAATATTAAGCCCATGACAAGACTCCAGCCACTGCATCTCAGTGGCAGGGCACCTTTGAGCCTCAGTTTCTTCAAATGAAGAATGGGAGCAGCTCAGAGCCCCATCTTGGGGGAAGTTGCCTTCTTGCTCCTTCCCTCTAATGCTCAGGGAGACCACTGTGTGCTGGGGAACCTGATCTGTGATTCTCCTGACCTCCCTGCACCTACAAAGGGGCCAGGGTTGGTGCTGCCAAGCTAGGGCCTTGTGCAGCTCCCAGGATAGAACAGTGGCTGTGAAGATGCAATGCCTTGCTTCAAGTGCACAGTTCAAGGCAGAACCTGAGACCTGGAGGGATGCCAACGCCACTGCTTACCAGGACCCAAGGAAAGCGAGGCCTGCTTCTTAGCGAGTGTCTAATTGTCCCACTATGGCCCTCGCACTTGGTCTCTGAGCAGTGACCATGCAGCCTTCCCACTATGCCCCTGCTCAGCCCAGAGACACCTAGCTGTACTCTTACGTATCTGGGGAGCTGTAATGGTAACTAATGACTTGCCTGGACCCAGATCCTGTCTACATGAGCCTAGGGTCCTCAGGGGTCACACAGAACCCACTGAGTGCTGAGAACAACTCTCCTGGTCACAGCAGGCCCCTCTTTGGCCTTGGATGGCTGAGCAGTGGTTTAATACATGGTGCCATATCACACATTTCAACAAGAACTGCCTGCAACCACCCTTCCCAAACGGGAACTCAAGAGCCATCTAAACGCTATTACTGCTGCACTGTTCCCTCCCCAGCCAGGCTTGAAGTCCAAAGTTATCCCTGCCTGTGTTGGCTCTCCTGGGGCCGACTGATTTTTCAGCTGGTTGACAGCAAGGCCAAGTCCAGGGCAAACAATCTACTGCACATTTAATCCTGCCCTGGGCCCCGGGGAGTTTTACTGAGGGAGCTAACAGCCTGGTTCATCAGGCACTGGCATAGAAGGCTCCAGGCTATGAGCAGGTGGGGGCTAGGAGCACTTTAACAGGCCCAGCAAATAGACAACGTCTGCTCTTGTTTTTAGCCCTGTTTTTCAGGTCTGAAGTTCTCAGAGGTGCAAAAACTGAGGCCGTTCAGTCCTGACCCAGGCTACTAGTGTTCCCTGCAGGGTTACCATCAGGCTCAAGAAGGGACGTACCCAGCTTCAGGAGCCAGCCCTCACGGTCTGGGTTGAAGAAGGTGTGGGTGAGATCATTCCCATCATCCTCAGGGATCTTGAAGGGTTCATTTCGGATGCTGTCATAGAGGTTCTGAGGGGCAAGAGACAGGTTAGAAATTCTAGGGAAGTCATGGGAGAAAAGGGTCAAACTGGGAAGAAAGGGAAACAGAAAACAGTAGAGATGGGAAGAGTGAAGAAAAAAGAGATGAAGGGATAATGGCGGGAAAGCCTGCTAAGTTCTCAGAGATGATGGGAGATCAAGACCCAGAAGAGCCTGAGAAGAGACACAGGAAAGAACCAAGGGCCAAGCAGGCCGGAAAGCACTGGCAGACCCGGAAGATTAGGGGTGCTGAGGCTGGGAACAGTACTGACCCTGAGCAGGTCCTCAGGCAGGTCTCCGCCCTCATTGATGCCCCGGTTCATGGCCACAAAGCGCTCCAGGCCCGGCTTGTCCCTGACATTGGGATTGTGAAGGCTGGTGTTCAGCATGATCACAGCGAAGGACAGCACGTAGCAGGTGTCTACACCAGAGAAAAGAAGGCGGCTGGTGATGCCCCGGGACCCTCCCAAGCCCTCTGTCCTGAGGTCCCCATAGTCTGGGAAGCCAGATCCCAGGCTCTTCCCTCAAACACAGTCTAGCCTCCAGTACTCCTTCCTCAGACTGCAGGCCCACGTCCTGCCCTCTGGTCTACCTGTAGACTGGAAGACCCCAGGGTTGCACAGGCAGTATCGCTGGGCAAAGGCCTCCATCATCCGGTCGATTTTCTGAGCCTCTCCAGGGAGGCGAAAGCTCCACAGGAATTGCCTGGTTAGGGGAGGAGCGGGGTAGGTTTCAGGGCTGGAAAACACTCTGCTTCTTAGTCTCTGTTAGAAGCGGACAAATCATTATCCAAACCTTGCCCAGTCTGGTGATGCACACCTTTAATCCCAGCATCCAGGAGGGAAAGGCAGGTGGATCTCTCTGAGCTCAGGGCCAGCCTGGTCTACACAGAGTTCCAGGCCAATCATGGCTACAGAGTGAAATGGTGTCTCAACCCCAACCCCCCAAACCATCAGTCAGAATTCAAATCTCCCACCCCTGGGGCTGTTTCAACTGCAGGAGCAGACCAGTAGGTTCCGGCCATGGGTTCTGGTGGGTCTACAGAGAAGAGCCTTTTCCCACTCCCTCCCACCCCACAGGGGCTGTGCTGTCATGTAGGAGGATCCACTGAGCACCCCGAGAGGAAGCCCGCAGGAGGCCCCCCACCTGACTGTCTTCTTAGAGACGTCATTTCCCGAGTGCTGTTTGTCCCTGTCGGAGCGTTTTGCCCCCACAACTAAGAAAGCCCTGGCACATGCATTTCTGCCCCATCCTCACCGCAGGGCCTGTACCAGATTGAGATCGGTGAACTCATGCAAATCCACAAAAGCATGGAGCACGGACAGGTTTAGCTCTTCCCTGAAGGGAGAGAGAGAGTCCCATTAGGAGCAGTGGTAGGAGAGATAGCAGCATCATATCTCAGTTACTGGGCCGCCCTCACAGCAGCTGAACCTTCCACCTGCTCCATCCATGGGCTGGGTCCCGGAGTAGGTAGGACGTCCACCTTGCCTGTCAGACCACCTGGTGTCATCAGACCACCTGCCGTCATCTCTCAGGTGTTCTCATGCTCCCCAGACACCTTTATCTCAAGAACTGACCTTTACCTAAGAATCCACAGGCAGTTCCCAGTTCCCATGCATTCACATGTCCACAGAAGGTCTCCATATACTTGTAGCTCTGACCCACGATCAAAACTTCCAGACGACACTTTTCAGATGCTACTAGCTTGTGTGTACATGGTTAAGCCACTGACACTCAGACTTCAATACTGAATGGCTACAGGTACCACTTCCCTATACGTTCAAGCTCCCCAGAGCCAGCCAGTCCATTATCATGATCCAGGTGGAGGCCACACACCTGTTCTACCCACGAGCTGCTATTGAGGCTGGGAGTACTGCGCAGGCCGGGCAGCTCACCTTTCCCCTAGGTAGTCCCCAATGGCTGTCTTGTTCAGCCCCTCACCCTTGTACAGGAAGCGAGCGATTTCCTCAGGTGTGTTCTGCAGAAGTTCGTGTTCCACCAAGAACTGGATCCCCTGGAGGGAGAGGGCCAGATGTGTGCCGAGGCAGAGGCTGCTCCCCAAGAACCTCAACATCCAAGCCTCTCCACCCTAACAGAGCTCCCCAAGTATCATCTCGAGCCCATCCCCCCAGCCTCTGCCTGACTGATTGCAGCATGCACAACTGTGTCTGGCAAGGAGCAGGTTTGGAGAACAATTGAACACACTACACAACACAATAAAAAAGGAAGCAGATACCTGTCCATCAAGCTGTAAACATGGAACCCCTCCCTGACTGCCATCTCTTACCCTGAACTACAGCCCTTACATCAGGGGGATCCCTGAGAGTGAGGCAGGGATTGCCCAGCACAGGGCCAGCTCCCAGAGGCCTCAGTACATGGACACTCATCGAACAGATCAGGAGTCTGTTGCCTAGAGGAAACCTATTATCTTCTAGAACCTAGGATATCAAAACCATGCCTGAATACCTGCTCAGCTAACCAACCTTCTTGGGGTCCATGTTGAATTTCTTCCTGCCCATTGCCATCTTCCGGTTCCGCTGCAAGGTCTTACTGCGAAAGCAGGGTAGACAGCAGCCAAGGGTCAATGCTTGAGCATCCCTGGCCAAGCCCCGAGTCCCGTGAGCTCCCCCCAGTCCTCACCTGCCCTCATTGGCCTCCAGACCCTCCACCTCACTCATAGCTTCGCTCAGCTCCTCTCGCAGGCGCTGGATCTCCACCAGCAGCTCCTGCTTGCGCCTCCGGATGTTCTCTAGCTCCATGCGCTCCTCTGGAGTCAAGTCTGGGGGCTCTAGGAACCAGGGTCAGAAGTGAGTTCTGGGCCAGGACTGCTGCATCCCGAGAAAGGATTAAGGCTGGGGGCCTGAATTCCTGTCCAGAAGAGGAATGGGCTACTAGAAATCTTAGAGGAGAGGAAGTAAGACCTTAGTCAGGGGCAGAAGGCCTGGGAATCTCATCTCTTAATAGGTCTGGGGATGAACTTCTGGGCCCATTACTTGGAAGGATGGAGCCCCAGCTTCATCACGGAAGTGGGGACCTACATCTTGGGTATTTTACTTGAAAAGGAACCGGTCTCTGGGATCCTGGACCCATCACCACACTTGGGAACTCGTGGTTCTGAATTGTGGATACTTTACTTGGAGGCCCTGGCTCCTTGGTTCCATTACAAGTAGAATGGGAGGCTTGAATATTGAAAACATTACTTGAAAGGACACAGGCCCCTGGGCTCATGGCTCCATCATCACAGGGAATCTGAGGCCCTGGATCAGGGGTGTATTCTCAGAAGGGAACAGGTGCCCCCATCATGGCTGAGGTCCTGGGATCCTGGACCCTGGGTGCATTTCTTGGAAAGGCACCAAGACTCTGGTTCCTGGCTCCACCGTAGTGGGAACCCTGGCGTGGACTTGGGTACATTTCTTGTAAGGAGGCCGGACCCCTGGCTCCATCATGGTGGGAGAGTTGGGGGTCCTGGATCCTGGGTGCCTTTCTTGGAACCAAGAAAGAAACTAAGGCTCTGGCTCCTGGCTCCGTGGTCTGAATCTGGGGTGCACAGTGAAGCCAAGCTAAGGCATCCGGACCCTGGATCAGGGTCGGTAGGGAGGTCATAAAGCCAGGGTTTGCAGCCAGAAAGCCAGGCCCTGGCTAGCGCGGGTGTACGCCCCGCCCCGCTCTCGCTGCCCCGCCCCGCCCGCCGCCGCCGCCGCCGCCGGAAGAGGGCTCGGCCCAAACAATGGCCCGGGACCCCCGGCTCTGGGCCGTGCCGGAAGCCCGTGCCGCGCGCAGAGAGGCGCCTCGCTACCGCTCGGCTGTCCTTGGCTGGGCTTGGGAGCCACTCCGCCCGCCTGTCCGCCTCGCCCGGCCTACCGTAGACACCGTCCTCCATGGCGGCTAGGAATGCCCGCGGGGAGTCCGGGGCGGTTCCGCCGGCTGGGCCTGCGTCCGCGTCGGCCCGCGGGCTCGAGTGAGCCCGCTCAAACGCCCCAGGAGCCACCGCCGCCTCCTCAGCGCCCGTCCTCAGCGCCGAAAAGACTCTCCCTTCACGGCCCAACCGCCCGGCCGGTGGGGCCCGCCCCTCGCCTTGACACCACCCAATCCGCTGCGGATCTCCCCGACTGCTCCGCCCCCGACGCCGCAGGATCATCTCCAGGACCAATAGGCACACGAGAAGCGGTTGCTGGCACGTACAGCTGGCGATAGACTGCTAGAGTGACCAATCGGAGTGCGGGCAGGATGCTTGATCCCGCCTCCGAAACAAAAGAAAATCCTTGGCAGTTTTATCCTCCAATAAAAAGACTCAAAAAGGAGTGACAAGGAGGTGGGGCTTCGTGGAGCAGGGAGGAATGCGCCTGCGCAGGAGCCAGACCAGGGCTGCCTAACCTCTTTCAGAAATTCGTTGCTAGGGGGCGGTATTTGATTAGTCTTGTTGTCAAGGGCGGGGTGTCAACCTGGAGTTGTTTCCCGGAGCCACACCTCCTGGCCCTGCAAGCTAGCTTTTGACCGCGGCGGTTGCCAAGCAACTGGGAGCCGCACAGGCCTGTCTTTTGCCTCCTTTCTCAGGCTATTCTCTTCAGGCGGTTGCCATCCCTTTCTGTGCCACCTCATGTGATTTCCCTACACAACTCAATCTCCTCAGAGTCCAAGGATGGGAAATAAAGGCATTATCTCTTCCAAATGTACTGGGTACCACGAATACACTGGCTCTACCCTCCCAGCACTTTTCCAGGCTCGTCCTCTCTCCTAAACTCTCCCTCTTAGCTTAGCTTCCTCCTCCTAAGACCCTGCCTTCCCCAGGCATTCTCCCAAGACACCCCTGCTCCCGCAGAACCCTCTGCCTGCACTGGCCCTGTTGGCAGCTCTCCAGGGCCCTGTACTTAAGGTCCTCACACTGCTGTCCTCCGTCAACTCCTCCCTCCTCTCAGAATCCCGTTTGCTTGGCAGGGAAAGCAGTGAGGGGTACGCTGACACACTTGTAGGCCCGGGACGGGGCGGAAGTGACCCATTCCAGGTCTCGTCCTCATTTGTGTCCCTGGGCTGCCCAGGTGGGGGCGGATTCAGGGCCAGGACTTGGTTAATCCTTTGGATTAGTCATGGAGCCTCCTAATCCCCACTCTGACCTTTATGAGTGGCCTGACCCGTGCCCTCCCCTGGAGACCTGGCTGCCCCAGTCCCCTCCCCACCCTCTCCCTCCCAGTAGAACCTCATGCCCCTGCCTCTTCACCCTCAGCTTCTTCTCCACCATGGTCTCCATCATCCCTAGTCCCTGCCCCAGACCCGGAGGTGGGAGAGCTTCCAGCTAATTAATCCTGTCCGGTTATTACCTGGGGATTCTGAAGGATAAAGCAAGATGAGGGCCAGAAGAGGGCATGGGTGGATTCAGCACTCAGGCAAGCCAGCGCCGGGGCTGGCTCTCAGTCGGGAACATGGGTGAGGACACCTCCTCCTCCTGGCAGCTCCCCTGAGGCTGGCCACCAGCCTGCTGGGCACTTAGGTGGCTGTACTATGGGTGAAGTCCAAGAACAAGGACCAGCATTCCGGAAACACAGGCACCCTGCCGGAGCTCCTGGGCCTTTAATACAGTTACAGGTTCCCCTAAGAACTGCACTTTCTCACAGGGAACATAACCCTGGAGATAACGGCTGCCTCTTCCATCCCCAGCCCCCGGCCTGGATCAGGGAGGTGGTGACACTGGCCCTTGGGGGCTTCCTCTTGCTGGTCCTGTAATCTACATTCAATATGGGAGCAGCCATCAAGTCAGTGTCCCCTCCCAACTGCCCCCGGAAGGTTGTGCTTTTCAGCACGAGGGTCGGGACAGGAATGTTAGGACCTGTACTGTATCCTAGCCTCCAGAAGGTGAAAGAGCATCCTTCTTGGGAGGACCCCTGGAGAACTTCAAGCTCCAGTGGCCATTGTTCCAGGAAAAACCGAAGCAACACAAGGAAAGGTCTGCCCAAAGTCCCGAAGGTACTTAAAGTAAGTCTTCCCAGATCTCTGCAAAGGGCCCCAGTTGACTGTTCATATCTTACTACAGGAACAAACAGAAAAGATAGAGATCTGTATTTATATCAGACATAATACACACATATATAGTATCTTTGAGAAGTAGACATACATCACTAGGTGTAGTATTCCAGAGTATTTTAGGCTCACCAGCCTCAGCCTCTCCCTTCCCTTATCCCCTAGTTAGCCCTGTGATCCTCTAGGCTCTTGCTTACAAGCTCCGCCCAGAAGAGTGTCTGCCTCCTGTAACTACCAGGCTGTCCACCTGAAGGTGACGAGGACATCTAGGCTTTGGGAAAGGACAGCTCTGGGTCTGTGGAGCTTTGATTCCTTTTGGCATTACAGAACCACAGGAAGTCACCCAAGGTCATGGAGATCCACAACCCTGCTAAGCGAAGTGGAGTCAGCAAACCATAGACATCTAGACTCCTACCTGGACTCTGATCAACCTTGAACCATAGAATCCTGATTCCTTTGGATGTTCTAAGAATGGCACTTCAAACAAAAACAAAATTTACCCTGTGGATCACGGAGAAGCCACTCACCCCCTTAGCTGGACCCTAAACAGGCAGTACTCCCGAGTTCTCCAGCATCAGGAAGCTCATGTCAGCTTAGTCCTTCCAAACTCACACCTACCAATGTTGTGTGTTTTCTAGAAACACAGCTTTATAGTTTCTGGAGCAGTTCCACTCTCTAGCCAACCTGTTCTAGAATCCCCACTGTCAACCTAGACTCAGAGAATCTCAACTCATGGCCTTTCTGGAACCACCAGGTCCTTTCTCCATCTACAGTCCAGTCACCATTCTGTCTTCGGTCAATCATGATGCTCCTTGGAGTTCTCTACCCCCTTCCTCCTGAGGGTATCAAAGCCATCGTCACTTGAATCTTTGTTTCTTAATCTGTGTACATTGACATCTTCTCCCCTGAAGCTGCATATCTAACCAGAATCCAGGCTTCATGCCTTGCCTCTTGGATGACCCAGAAACCTGGCTCCCTCAGCTCTGGTAAGACTCAGGAATCCAGCTCATAAAGGGGTCTTGAGAGGGAGAATGGAGCAGAGAAATGAAGGTCTGGTGTTATCTGTGGTAGACAACCTCATGGTTAATGGTTGTTCCAGCAGGCCACTGGTCCTTGGAAACCCCTGCTCCGCTCCCAACAGAGGCTGGAAGCTCTCCATCCCTGTCATTTTTGGGAAGGGGAGTCACATGGGGAAGTGGACCTCAGCTGTCATGGAGGCAGGGTCAGTGCCAGGGTTGGTGTAAGAGCTTGGGGGCTGGCAGCTCTATCTGGGGTCTCTGCTGAAGTCCCCTCTTTAGCGTCCTCATCTTCCTCTTCTTCCTGGCAGCAGCTCAGAGCAAGTTCATTCTCGTAACAAAATGCAGTGAGGGAGCCAGGAAAACTTGACTTAGGGCTGTGGGAAGCCTGCTCTGCCCGTTCATCCAGCTCCTTGGCACTGCAGACTGGTGTCCCTGGGACCTCGTATGTTCGGTGGAAGTGGCGATAGTCAACCTCATACTGGGAGCCGCGCTGGAAGAGGACTGGCTCAAAGCGGTGGCCCCAGAGCAGCTCACCTGGGAGGTAAGATGAGCGGCACTGTGTTGTCATGGCGGTGGCCTCAACCATACCTTCAAGAATGACCACCAGCTCAAAGTCAGCCCGGGCCAGCTCTGCCCGTCCCAGCTCATACAGTGGACTGGCCGAGTCAATCTCGTGCACAATGGTAATGGGAGATACGAGGAAGATGCGGTCGGTGCCTCCGTCAAAGCCAACGTCCACATCCTGGTGGTCCAGTGGAATGTACTCACCCTCTGGGGTCACACGGGGCTGTGCAGAAAGAAGCAAGAGGACAGAGCCGGAGAGGTGAACCAAGATTTCAGCAAGAGAGGAATAAAGATCCAAAGAAAGACCCAAGAGCAGCAAGGTGATCCTGGAGAACATGGATCCAGAGAAAGGGACAGAGACAGACAGGGAGACAGACCCCAAGAGGAAGGGACACAGACTCAGAGATAAGGGGACAGACAGACCTAGGGGAGGGGACAGAGGCCCGCTCCCAGGGGGGACCAGAAACCCGGGAGCAAGGGGAAGACAGTGAGATGGAGATCTGGGGAGAGAGGACATGGGAGAGCGCAGTGGCTCCAACAGGAACTGTTCCACCACTGCCAGGTCGCTGTGCCTCCTCCACCCCATTGAGTATGGGTGTGAGCCCATGGAGAAGTGCGCCTTATACTAGACCCCGGCAGTTTGTCTCCCACTTACTGCTCTATGACTGGCTTCCAGAATGTGTCACTACCCCACAGACCTCTGGAAGAAGCGTCCCCCTGAGTCATCTTGGTGTTTCAAAGGGCTGGGAGGAGCTCAGATATGGGGGTCTGTTCTCTGTGCCCCAGAGGCTTCTGGGAGCTGTACTTCCCACAGTCAGCTGGCCCCTCTTCTGGCCTCAAGTGCAGCCTCCACTTGGCCAGTGCCGACTGCAGCCCAATGCTTTCTGGGGAGGCCAGATGCTTGAACGATGTGGCGGCCAAGTCTAGGAGCATCCAGTTCCTACAGCAGGGCTTGGAGGAGGCCGCTAGCCCCGTGGTGCTCTATTCACTGGGTACGAGGCTGATAGGAGAGCTGCTCTGGGCTGCCCTGGGCTGCTCTGTTCTCCTTTCTCCTGGTGATTGTGCCCTAGAGAGTGGCAAGGCCTCAGAGTCCCCAGCACCCACTAAACACATCACATCTTTCTGGCTGCTGGGAGCTACCAGAAGGAGCATGTGAGGGCGGGCGTGGTTGCCCAGGTCTAGAGCACCCAGTAAACTCCTACCTACTCTCCAGGCCAAGAGGCTCTCAGGGGTCCTAGTCTCTCAAGCCCGGGGTTCCAGGAATTTGCCTCCTGGTCTACCTCTCCAGGAGGCCCACATGCTGCTATTCAAGGTGCTGAAGAAGGCACACCTCCCTTCTCCCCACACCCTGCAACTGGTCCTCCCCTGGACACACGCACATGCGCATACACACACACACGCACGCGCGCACCCCACCTCGGCAGCAGCCAGGTCCGCACCTGCGCCTCTCACCCCGGTTCCCAGGACCCCCCTCACCTGCAGCAGCTGGGCCCGCACGTGAGCCTCCACCAGGTGGCTGCGGCGCAGGTTGCCCACCCGCCACATGAGGCAGAGCCGGCGGTCTCGCAGAGCCACCACTGCGTTTTCGCTGAAGACCAGTGTCTCGTTGCGTTTCTTGGGCTTGGCCATCTTGGCCATGACCGCCCCCACGACGAAGGCGTCGAGCACACAGCCTGCGATGCACTGCAGCACCACGGCGGCCACAGCGGCCGGACACTCCTCGGTGACGCTGCGGACCCCGTAGCCTATGGACGTCTGCGTCTCCAGCGCGAAGAGGAAGGCAGCCAGGAAGCTGGCCACCTGGGAGAAACAGGGCGCCGGGGGCGGCGGCGCGGCCAGGTCGCCGTGCAGTGAAGCGATGAGCCAGAAGGTGAGGCCGAAGAGCAGCCAGGAGGCGAGGAAGGAACAGGAGAAGAGCAGGCACATCCAGCGCCAGCGCACGTCCACACACGTGGTGAACAGGTCACTCAGGTAGCGGGCGCCCTGGCCGCCCAGGTTCACGAAGCGCACATTGCAGTGCCCGTCTTTCTTGACGAAGCGCCCGCGGCGCCGGCTCCCAGCCACCGGCCCCGGCGCCCACCCATTGCGGCACAGCCCGGCCCCTGCCTCCTCCTCATCGCCAGCCCGACCGTTTCCTGACTCCAGCGCGCCGCTCAGGCGGCGCAGGGCCCTGGCCAGGCCCATTGGGCGGGGAGACCCCCCTCTACTTGGCCTAGCGGGGGGCGGGCGCCCCAAACCTGTAGGAACAAAAGATGGGCAGGAACGTCAGAGGTACCGGGAACTAGAGGACCCACCAGCCATGACACCAGCTTCATCTACTGCGTGGGCCAGTACTTAGGTACTTAGTACTTGGGTAGTGGCGCACGCCTTTAATCCCAGCACTCGGGAGGCAGAGCCAGGCGGATCTCTGTGAGTTCGAGCCTGCCTGGTCTACAGAGTGAGTTCCAGGAAAGGCTCCAAAACTACACAGAGAAACCCTGTCTCGAAAAACCAAAAGACTATCCTGCCATATGAAACTTGGGATAGCTGCAATTGTAGCACAGGGTTTCTAGTCCGTGTAATGCTGTTATGAAGAACACCAAACTGGTGGCTTAGACCACCATTGGTAAGCATTGTACATGAACTTACACGTTTGTGGTTTTTGTTTTTCAGATGGTACTGGTGAGGAACTCCTGAATACTAGTCAGTGCCCCAGCCCTGAGCCGTGTCTGCCCTAGCCCCTTACTGGTAGTGGGTAGTCAAGTGCTCTACCACTGAGCCGTGTCTGCCCTAGCCCCAGGAACAGAGTTCTGAGATAAACCAAGTCATTTTACAGATACAGCCTGCCTCAGACCACGGCTGCTCAAGCTTGAATACCAGCACTTCAGCATCGAGCCCATGGTGATCACCAAGACCACGCTCGTCGGGAGAAAAAGAAGCCCCAGACGTGGTGTGCGATGTACATACTGCAATTCCAGCACTCAGGAGGCTGGTGTAGAACCATGGAGAATTTGAGGCCAGCTTGAGCTATGAAAGGCCCTGACTCAGACAAGTAACAAGGATTCTACCTGGCAGAAAAAAGGAATGAGGGACCAACATCAACCATATGAGTCATTTCTTTGTTGAGGCTACCTTATGAGCTCAAGAGATCTCTGCATCTCAGTCCCTAGAGCAGGTGGGAACACAGGCCATGCCAAGCACGGATGTACCTCAAAAACGTTTTAAGTGTGAGCCGCCCATTCAGTCATCCCTCAGTTCCCTGTCTCTACATCATCTGTACCCACTGAACCCAGCCAAATGTGGACCTTTTCACACATCAGTACTCCCTGAACAATACTGTAAAGCTACATAGCATTGCATTGCTCCGTATTACAATCTGGAGATGTTTGTTTTTGAGACCGAGTTTTCATGGCCCAGACTGGTCTAGAACCAATCCTCCTGCCTCCACCTCCTGAGTGCAAGGATCACAGGCCTAAAGCACTACTCAGGTATGGAGGTGACTCTAAGCACATGGGATGGTATGTGGGTGTTACCTCCATCTGAGAAACGGTAGGCTGGGAAAGGATGTGGGGTTTCTTTCTCGAGTTATACAAAACCTCCCAGCGCTGCCAGAATGATAGCCACTTAACTCTGACACACTAACAACCACTGGCTGGGGAAGGTTGGGGCTCAGCTGCAGAACACACACGTTCCATGCCTCAGGCCCCGGGTGTTCAGGCCACAGCACTCCTTTAAGGAAGTACCCAGGGTCATAAAGACCCAGGGCCTGTTGGTCATCGTCGAGGAAGGTGGATCTCTGTGAACTCCAGGCCAGCCTACCTAGCAAGACCTTGTCAAAAAAACAAAGACAGACTCAAGGCCTGATCTGGTTTAGACTGTAGTCTAGGGTTCCTTTTCAAGAGTTTTGATTTGCTCATTTGAGGGATGGATGGAGATCAATACCCCTATCCTGAAAGGTAGAGCATCTGGAAGTCTGAGTTCTGACCTGGACATAACAGTTCTGACAGTAGGTATAGTGGGTGTTCACGGACTTTCCCGAGCCCCAGAGGACTGGAGGTCTGGGCCTTCGGCCTCACCTCCAGCTACTACAGGGCTGATCTGGTCCAAGTGTTACCAGTTCAGTCTATGGCTTTCTACCCCTATACGCACACTAGACTATGGAACCTCACGGGCTTTGGTGGAAGGACCTGAGTGTTCTAGGAAAGAAGGCTGTGTGAAGTGTGGCACTTATGGCCCAAGAGTACCATGCACCTCTTTCTTGGTCTCCATGGCATCCAGAAAGTCCGGCAGGGATCACTAGGCCCACCCGATGGGTGCAAACCTGGGGCTCAGGGCTGAGTGGATGGAGCTGGACTGAGTCAGCACAGCAGCCCTGAACGTTGAAGGTCATTCTCGGGACTGGAAGCAGGCTAGTCTCTCAAGAGCAGGTTACAGTTGGAATGTGGAAAGTAACGAGCATCATGAGCAGCCTCTGTGGCAGGATTCCTACTTTGCAATAATTTCCAAGAGCTAACCGGGGAGAGAGGGAGGTGGAATCAGCCAACCTCAAGTGCCTCAGCTGGAGAGAGAGGTGGCAAGCTCAGACACCAATGAGGCCCTGGTTGCTGAGCCTGTGAGACCGCAGCTGCTTGAGTGCTGGTGTGGACAGGCCAACGTGTACATGGAGGACCCGAAGCTGCCGTGGTACCTACTCCCTCCAGGGTTGTTCACCTTTGATTTTCAGGGTAGCAGGGGCCAAGAACTTCACCTCATCTCAATCTGGGGCTCCTATGCTAGGGTAGGAAGCTGGCTTGGGTCCCAAACCTCTGACCCCGACTCTGCCACTGCCCTGAGGTAGACTTGTATCCACCCTGTATTGGGTGGGACTTTCCCTTCAGGGAGCCATCCGCATCCCACAGCCCAGCACTAGGCTGCTCCCCAGAAGACGGGGGAAGGATACTGACCCACACCCTCCCCGCCCCCACCTTCCACCTGACCCACAAGAGCAGCTTAATGTTTCCATATAAAGGAGCCACAGGGCTTAAGGTACTTCAACTTCACGTCAAAGTCACTATATAATCTGAAGCCAAAAACCCCGCCCCTCCCATTCACACAAGTTGGCACCCCTACCCCTGCCCCCACCAAGTAATGGGGACAGAGGGTACTGAGAGGGCCCCAACAGAGGCCACTGACCAAGCAGAACAGGAACTTCTGTCCTTTCCTAGCCTCCAAGGCAGCTAGACAACCCAGCCATACTGGGGTCACTAGGCCCAAAGAAGATGCAAAGTCACAGTGGCATGAGCTGGGGGACAGAGATGACTCAGAGAGACA